GGACACCGACCTCTGTTCGTGGCAGCATTCGCATTTCACAGTAGTAGATATACAGCACAGTCATTCCTGCAAAGCAATAAGACCGAAATCGCCTTGTATTACCTCCGGTCAAGATCCTGCCTGCCAATACCTCACGTTTTGATTGCTCCTTGCGGATGAGAAGGCGGCTCACCTTGAGTTGAACTTGTGTATTCGTGAGTCGTGACTCCATCACCATGAAACTGTATCGATTACACACATAATTGGAGTATGACTGTTTGTTTTGCCCGATTCGTCTCGTTGCACATCTGAGTAGAATTTCTTTCAGCGCTCGCGGCTCAACCGCACGCCATTCGACAAGTCACAGCACCAGGACATGTGGACTGAGGTGGCTGAAGATTTCAGACCAAGTCTTCTCTCCGGACTTGGACAGCCAAATAGTCTTGAAAAAAGATTTGACAGCGTCGATAGAAGCGAATCGCATATCATCGTATATCACATCGGCCATGTCAAGAACGGCCTTTTGCTCTTCTGCAGATGAAACGTGGGCTCCGGCGATGAATAGCGGGAAAACGATGCAGTTGAGGTTATTTGCCTGCCGAGGGATCTCAAAGATGCAAGCGAGACAGGATTTGACATGCTGCTGCACAAGCGGGTGACGAGTCGGGAGGCCGCAAATGGCTCTGTATAGATACAGCAAGGCGGTGTGCTGGAAAATACGAACGAGGGTGAATGCATGTACAGCCTCGGCTTCTGTCGTAGAGCAGTCGGATACCTCTGACGGGCTTTGGCCGTCGGCATCGGCGACAGTCAGTGGCGCATACACTGGACGAAGGGAAGCTTCAAATTGACGTATGCGCTCAACAGACAGATCCTCGACCATGCTCGTCGTTGCTTGTAGGTACAGGCCCATTTTGGCGATTTCGCGAAAGACAGATGCGAGGGAGCATCTATTCAATGGGTCGCGACCCCACCAAACAGGGCCCTTGTCGAGTAAATGCCACACTTCTGGAGCGAATGCCGGAGGCTTACCCTGGATCATGGAAGTGGTGAGATCCGTCGTTGCGAACTCTGAGAGCAGCATATGCAGCGGATCGGGGGCCGCCGATACTACTGCCTCGATGCCACCTAGGTGGCTGAGAATAGCTAGAATGCCGTTGTAATGACTAGAGGTTGAGGCCGATTTGAGGATGCAGCCCATGTATCCATCGTCAAAGTACAAGAGGATGACTGCAAATAAAAGCCCAATCGTGGGTCCATTCCGCTTGGGCCCAACGCAGCAGCGGTCTATCTCGGCTCGAACGGCAGCCAGGCATTCCAGCCGCTTCTTACCGAGGGAATCGTGATCATGCGTACCGTCTTGCAGGAGCCTGTGAGAGTCAGACAGCAAACAAGCAGCGAGCAGAACGACGCGGTGCTCCAGAGCCACCGAGCTTGGGGGGGCACACGGTTCCTCTGCAGTGGACAGAAGTGGCCAGACGCGCAGATGGAAGTAGTCAAGTGCACGACGCTCGCAGACCTCGAGGTAAACGGTCAAGTGCAAGTCATTTCGTGGAATGCAATAGGCCGGAGGGACATGAGGGGTTGGCCGCGTGCTCCATCTAATTAGTCGGCTATTGTAATCGCACTTGACGCCAGAGGCAGCACATTGCCGGCAAGTTGGCTTGGAAAGACTGCATTTGATGCGTCGCTTTTTGCAGGACCAACAGGAGCCCTTGACGACTCTGACTCGATTAGGACGCATGTCCCCACGAATTGCCCTGGATGTGTTTTGAGGGTGGAGTACTCGATTTTCAGACGGAATCGAATGATGGACTTGTAAATTGAAGTGTTCTCGGTGGGCGTTGACGCAGTAGGAGTCTCTGCATCATGCCCAGTTTAGCTGCGTTCAATTGAGCATTGTTGAGAGGGATGAACGGCGACTCACATCCGGCATACTTGAGCTACCGGGCACTCTCTGCCAGTATGGGCGACAATACGTGTTGCCACCAAAGTGATTCCGACGTGAACGATCCATGCGGCAGGTAAGGTGGGATTTCCAGCAAGAGGAGGCGAAGAGGGTGTCGAGGGTTGAGAAGTTTACAGAGGCAGGTGGTGAGGAACTCAACACAAGAGGAGGAAGTGAGGTTCAGTTCTTGATGGAGACTGGGTGTTAACGGCGGCGGACGGGAGTGTATGCGAGTAACGGAATAAGTGTCATCCGATGTGAGTGTACGGAAACTTCGAAGGTGAATGGAAAGGAAGGTCGCAGCTGGATCGACGGACGGGAGCGGGGAGAACTTGTACGATTCCAGACTTGCCCGATCATGGGGTAGGAAGGAGGGATCTTCCCAGCGAATGTGTGCCGGGCTCGTGTTGCCTTGGTCATGTCGGGTCCAGTGGGAGACGTCCAGCACTGGAGATGCGGGGCAAAGGAACGGCACTAAGACGTATCAAGGATTACGTACTCCATACACCTCAGCTTGCACCACCGTAAGATATCGGGGAGAGATAAGGATCCTATCCACACCGAATGATGATGTAGGCGACGCTCCCTGAGGTTGTGCCTTCAAGGTACTCCGTATCCGTACCCATGTTCCAATTCCATGGTAAGGTAGGCCGGAGGGTGGATCACAATCCCTTATCTAAAGTTCCATCACAAGGTATTCAGCCGCTCTGTGTGTACGGTAACCGAGTTGGCTGACCTCCAGAGCTCAAGTGCCAGAAAGAAACTTGCTTTGCTGTGCAGCTGAAGTACCTTCAATTGCTGTCCGGATCGAAGCACTGACAATTTACTTCTGGAAGCAGTAAATTGTGCGTTTCTGGTGGTAATAAAGTTCAAGTAATACGTCAAATTTTGCATGCAAAGGAGGATGCAACGATGGTCGAACTTCATTTGGTAACCTTTGGCCTTTCCGAGGCAGTCTTCCTTGCTGGACCTTCCTCCTGCTGGGATCCTTTATGCTTCGCTGTCTCTCCACTATCTTGCTCACCTCTAGTTGTCTTTTCATCCCCAACAATATCTTCATTCCATCCCGGCACAAGTTCATTATCAGCTTCCCCCTCATTCGTATCCCACCCTCTCAAAACCCTCCTCGCTGCCTCTCTACCGACAACGGGTAGTTTCTGGACGCCATTCTTGCGCGCCACTTCTGGCACCAACTTTGGATCCAGCAAGCCAACTTGGACCAAAACGCTTGCTTGATCCCAATACACATGCTCGTGGTAGAGTTTGCCTCCTCTCAGCCCGACGATGCTGACAACAAGCACCTCGACCCGTCTATTCGTTGCCGGGACGCCCGGTAAGATCCATGGCATCTCTTCTGTATGCTTGAAACGGACGTGAACTTCATCAACGACACGATCAGTCCCGATAGTGCGGGAAATAAGCGTGAGTTTCATCGATGGAGGGTTGCTGAAGAATTGCTTGTAAAAGGTTTCAAGCTCTTGCGCTCCGACACCTCCCGTCAATGTCGGGATGTGAGTGACGTGAGGGGTCTTGTGTGTTGTATATGATGACAGCGTTTGATTTAGGTTGCGGGTGAAGAACTTGCCTGCAGTGGGTCAGCTTTGAGTATCGGGCCAGGAGGTACACTCCTGATGTTATGTGAAAATCGCTCGCGAGCTCAACTCCTACAAAGGGCATTTGGCTCAGAAAGTCACGGGAATCCTTACCCTGTACGTTTTGCTCCAACATAAATTCCATGTCAGTGTGATTGTTGAACGCCTTCCTCGCGGCACCGAGGCTGCGGCTCCACGCCAACTCAGCGGAAACTTGGTGGTACTCATCCAGATCGTGCTCTGCAAAACCAGGCTCCGCGTCGTACGTGTAAGTCGGATACGCCAGCTGCAACATTCCGCCGATGCCGATGCCGCTTTCCACCTTCTTGCGGGTCGTGCGTCGCTTACCTTGGATCCCGACCATCTGGCTCTGCTTAGTGACACCAATCTCCTCGCCCGCCGCGAGATGAACAAGAGCCGAAATGCTGCTGGGAAAGTGACCCTTGGGATCGGGAATTGCCGTCGGATAGTATGCAATGAGCAGACCCAGCTTGAATTCTGGGTTATTGTCCACTACGTGATAGTATTCCAGACAAGCTGCTGCGGCATCTCCGTATGCTGTTGACTGGTTAGGTGGAATTTTGTACCCTCTATTGAATCGATAAGGAACCGTTACCTACCTACAAGCCCAAATGTTTCGCAGGGACCCATATCTTTCCTACTCAACGATCGGAGCTTGCCCCGGTACTCCTTTGTGCTTCTCCCCATTGCGAGGTATTCTACGTCGAAGCCCTCGTCACGCCACTCGTCTAGCGTAAGCTGGTCGAACTCTTCACTTTCCGCACTGATATATAGCTTCGGTCGACTTCTGGGGAAGTCCTTGGACAGGAAGTTGGGATCTCTGTGGACGGGACGGTTCCAATTGTCCGAGACGATGCGCGCGTTGCGTCCTTCGGATTCCGGCACGGCGGCCTTGACCAGCCTCGGGATGTCGATATTCATGGTCAACAGATCTTATAGTCTTGGCCAAAGGATATGAAGATGATGCCTACTCTGCAAGATGTTCAGAAGACTAGAAGTGACCTGCTCAGATTTATAACATACCATAGGAAGTGTGGGAACTTGGAATCGCCTGGTTGTGACGTCATGTCTTTCCCCGAGGTGCAGGACACAGACCCATTCGTCTGTGGGGTGGATTACACAGCCAATTACATCACGGCAGAAATGAAAATACAAGTCAAGATCACGAGCGTCGCTATTCCGTGTTTCTTTCATTTGCATTTGCGCAAATGTAATGTCAGTAGCGAAGTAGTTCAAGATGGCGGGTGTGCGTTCCTATGTGCTCGTCTCAGATCCAGGATGCTCTGTTTCCTTAAAGAGTATAGCCTGTCTCTTCCTTGGCATGCGCTAAGCTGTCACGGGATATGACGTGCGCAGCGCCAGATTTAAACAGATTGGAGAAATAGAAACTAGTGAACATAAGGAGCGCCAAAGAAGGATCGTGAAATATTCAACTTTTCGCAACGCGGTCAAGACTGAGTGAGGCCTTTTCTCTTAAGCAGTGATCCGCAGACCCAACCAAGTAGGTGCTTCGACACTTGTATGGAGCTCAAAGCAAACGCTGGATTACTCTGTCTGGCGCGTATCTTAAGAGATGTTTGCTCTAGCGTGGGAACACAGCGTTCGAGAGACAGCAGCGCGTGTAGCTGGCGTATTCAAGGTGAACTGGCACCTGGGCTTGACTGCGTTTGGAGGACCACCGGTGCATTTTAAAATTGTACAAAGGGCCACACTGTCTCATTGTCATTGAGGCCAGCTGCTTACAAGTCGGCTGTGTTAGTTTCACGACCGCTTTGTAAGGCGCCTGCAATGGATAGACGATCAGATGGTACGTGTCTATCATCCTTCGCTAAACACCACTTTCATTGATTAATATGTTACGAGTATTAGTATCAAGAGCTGTTTAGCATCTCTCAAGCTCTTTCGGGTCCAGCAAGCACTAAGATGCTTTATTGCATCAACCTCATCCAAAATGGCTTCCTTGGCGCCATCGTAGCCTTCATGATCTGGAGGCATGTGCCCCTACATTATTTGGAGAATCCCCAAAACTGCAAATCCGACTAACGATCATATGCCAGCTTACCGGGCGCCTTGGGAATGTATGGGCTCTCCCTGGGCGTTTCAAACATTGGTCCTAGTCTCCCACGCGCAGTTTACGCTCTCCTTTCCGGCCTCAACGCTGCCACTGTCGGCATCATCGCTCAAGCGGCTATGGAGCTCTCTGATAAGGCCATCACCGATAAGCTTACAAGAACTCTCGTGTTTCTCTCTGCCGCCGCGGGTATAATTTACAACGCGATATGGTTCTTCCCAATACTCATGTGTACTGCGGGCTGCTCAGCTGTTGTGTACGACTACCGCTGGATTCATAAGCCGGCGATACGGGCCAGGGGGATGTTGAGGGCGTTGCTTGGCAAGAAACAAGAGGAACCCTCCCGTACAGCCAGCCGGGATGGAGAAGTTGGCGGTGATATCGAGCTTCCATTGACTAGGCGAAGACCCACGCCACACGTCACGAATTCTGGCTCGACAGGAATCTCACATGCCAGTCTTCAGCCTTCGTCGTCTGACCACCGGATCATGAATGCCTCGAGCTTTGAACGGGGCGCAAGTACGTCGCCTCTGGAAGCCGAGGTACGCCGCGCTTTAGCCGATTCCGAGCCCCGTACCATTCCCAAGGAGTTTCAACTCCACTTCTCCTGGAAAGCGGGCACCGCCATCATAGCAACCTTCTTCACCACGTTCATCGCCGTGATGACTATTCGAGGCGTGATCTCAGATCTCCCAGTTCTCTATCGACTTTTTTCCAATCTCTACCTTGCAGGTACCATCATTTTTGGAGGCGGTCCTGTGGTAATTCCTCTACTTCGCGAGTACGTTGTGGCCGAGGGCTGGGTGTCTCCGCGGGACTTCCTAATTGGCCTTGCTATTGCACAGTCCTTCCCCGGCCCTAACTTCAACTTTGCCGTCTTTCTTGGCGGGCTGACCGCGGTCAATGCGGGCCATTCTACAATCACGGGCGCTGCCATCGCTTTTATCGGCATTTTCACCCCGGGACTGATCCTCGTTCACGGCACGATTGGCGTTTGGGGAGCGCTGCGGAGCAGACCATGGGTGAGAGCCGTGGTGCGCGGCGTGAACGCCTCAGCCGTCGGGCTTATTTACACTGCCGTCTACCGCATCTGGCAGGTTGGGTTTCTCGACAAGGGTTTCCAGTCAGGGAGGAGTTTAGGTGACGACCCCTGGTGGGTTATTGTCACAGCTACTGCGTATGTTGGGGGACGGTATTACAGACTGGCGGCGCCGTTGGCGGTCTTGCTCGGAGCGATAATGGGTTTAGTCAGGTACGGTGTTGTGTCGACGTAGAAGTTAGGCCAAGACTCTAAAATAGCAAGTAACTTCTAGCTTGCCTAATAAGGTCACTCACCGCGGCTGTCTCACTGGCCAAAGGTGAGGAGAACGTAGCGAGGCTTAGAGGTGGTAGTCGTTTCTCCCGTGATTGAGAGTCAAGAACAGGAAGAATTTAAATGTAAAGCGATATGGTTTGACAACTACCAAACTAAGGCTGGAGTAAGGTTGGACGAGCTAATCAGGGGGCAAGCTTCCTACCCATCACATGATTTATCAAAGATGCATGCCTTTACCTGAGAGGGTAAAGTCTACGAATGAGACGAGCATGGAACAGTCGAAAAGAAGAAGCTTAGGAGGCTCTCTGCTCAGTCTCTATTTTCAAATCCAGTCTGAATTGCGCCACTTTGTATACTCTATCATTTCTTGCTCCATGTGCTTTTAATCCAACCATCATACATCTATCGCAGGGTAATTCTGGTGATTACTGTGTCGATCAATTCTCGTTATCGGGAGGACAACACAGTTGCTGGCATTGTTTAGCCTCATACATGCTCTTCTCTATCAGCGAATTATTCGGGAAAACTTACAGATGCTTTGCAAGCCGCTCCCTGCCCTGAACAGTCTGCAATCTTGATACTACCCTTTGTGGTCAACCCTCCAGAGCACGCAGGGCTTCCAACCCGACAGAAAAAGTTGTTTGATGTTCCAGGGATGATGCATTTGCCCGCAAGAGTGCTAGTTGTGCATCCCGACTGGCGCTCGATCAACTCGTCTGGCATAGCAAAGACTGACGCGAGGAAGAGAATGGAAGAGAAGAAGTGAGCTTTATGCATTTTCAACAATTGTCTAGGTTATGTATCGAAATTGAGTTGGGGAGATGATAAAGATAGTACTTCTTTCTACTTGGACGAACCGTTAGTTGGTGTGTACAGGTGCCCAGCCTTATATACGAGGTCACAGACAAGCCCAGAGCAGGAGATTTCCAAGACGAGGATTTTTACCATGAGTCAGGCAAGCATAATGAACAAAATGATATCATCCGTCGGACTGACAGCAGATTGTGCTGTCAGGTACTAGATCTTACCTTAGCTTACAGAGGGGCTGAGACAACACAATTGGAATCTGGCCGTAAACTTTCTTGGCACTGTAGCTGTAGCTTGTTTTGCTTCAGATGGGCAACTTCTCGATAATTACAGGCTCTGTTTAGGAACGAAAACAAAAGCTTGATTTACGAACTGAAGCTTCTTAATTACGTCGTATATAGTAAAGCTATATGACAGAAAGAAAGTGCTTAGACGACCTATTGCTTTTGAGCCAGCAACCTAGAGGGCCCAACATCTGGCTGGAAGACCGAACACGAAAAGACTTCGTGACCAGCCCCTGGACTTCTGCTCATTCCAGCCCCTTCTGGACTTTCGGGAAAGATTGCTAGTCGGGGCCGTTGCTTGAGTGGCGGCTGAGAGGGCCCCAGCAATTGTCTATACGTATCGGTCAAGCGCTGCCTTCGTTCTTGGACTTTGTAGTTGCGGCAGGGATCCTCCGAGCGTCTCGGTGAAACTTCTCCTCGTCCATGGCTTCCCACTTCCGTTTTTCCTCTCTCTTAGGGTCATGTAATCCAAGTCTTATTCCGAACCTACCAGCCAATCCGAAAGAGAAACTGCGGTTTCCCTGTTACCTACGATAACCTTCGCTGCTACAACAGTTCGCAAACACTATTTATGAAATCGTCAGGAAGCTGGAAGACACCAAAGAACAATATGGTAGAGCAGGGCAGAGAAAGCCAGTACCTTCCTACTCTACAAAATGTCTAACATGTTCAGGGCTAATTGCGTAGCTTTCTGCGAGTGTCGTAGGGGGTCCTTCTTAGGCTTGCCGGAATGCCGCAACGGTCATGGCTTGTGCTGCAAACATGCGAGGAAAAGGTTGATTAAAATGTATTCTTTTTCGGGTTCAGAGTGAATGTGAGAAAGATCGGCCATAACGGGTGTTCAACAAATGGGCTAGAAGGGAGGACTAGCAGGATCGAGACTTAGGCAAGTTGGCCAGGGTCTTCATAAGATTAGTCCGAACTATGATCAATTGAATCACCTTGCAAGCGACGGCCTCCGCTCAGTCATTAATTTCTGCCCTTCAAGCCTATATCAAGTGTCAGACTGCCCTAGCATGTTCGCTACGGTAATTATTTCACCTTAAGCGACCTGACTTATGCTTAACTAGAGGTATAATTTAAAGTAAATAAACATATCCTTCTATAAAGAGATCGTATAACTACTACTTATATAAATATAAGGTTTCTTTTTATAGCTATTTATTCTACATACTCATTAATATACATAAAATGACCCCTGCCTGTCTAACTGCTGCTCGAAAGTGAGTATAGTATAACTTCGGCTGCCGTAGTGGCCCGAGGCATGCTGCATAGCTTCCCTAATGTTCGTATTGGGCTTATGGTTGGTATCGGCGCCGGCGCGCCTAGCTAGAAATACGATGTGCGGCTTGGCGATGTAGTTTTTAGTAGCCGTGATAGAGGGAAGGGCGGCGTTTTCTAGTACGATCATGGCAAATTGGTTTAAAACCAGGATATCTTCTTTGAGCATACGGATTTCTTGGAACAATCGCCGATGGCTCTGCGAACAGCTGTAAACGCTTTGAAGGACCAATACGTGAGTTTGAGCAAGGATAATTCTTTTGTAACTATCACGATCTGAGTACTCGGACTTTCATGACACCCTGTTCGAAGAAGTTGCCTTACGTCATTTGATAGTATATTCGCAGAGTTTAATGAGTTCCATTCCAGTATTGATCAGCCGTGTTGTAGACGGCGACATACTCTGCCTCGTACGTGCCCCCTGACAAGGTCGAGTTCAAAGGCGTCTTCAGAGCAGAAATACCATCCGGAAACCCACCGCCCATCGCCATGTTGAGCAGAATGAAGTGAGGCTTATGAACCGTCTGTGTCCATATCGCCTCCGACAACTGGGTTTCACTGACCTGGTGGTACTGCACACCATCGACAAACCACCGCAAGATCTCGGGCCTAGCGGACCTGTCAACCTCGATAGTGTAGGTATGTAAGTTACCAGAGCAGACACTGTTCGGACAAGAAGTGCTGTTGCCGATGCCATTAGACTCGTCGCAGAACCCCCCAGGGTTGCGGTCGCAGTGCAGAACGCCCCATATCCGATTGCCAACATTAGGGTTCTCCATAATGCCAATCTCACCAACGTAAGGCCAATTCCTGAGTACGTATTACGTATTAGAAAGTCTTTAAAGTCAAGAACCCGATGCGTGGATACCAGTAGTTGCCTCGGTACTCGCTACCAAGAGTCCAGAAAGCTGGCCAGTAGCCAAGACCATGACCGTTCATGTTAGGGGTCTTGAGGCTGGCCTGGATCCTCATCTTCCCGCCCGGCTGAGCGACAAAATCTGTCCGCTGAGTCTTAATACGAGAGCTGGTCCATCCGCCGTTTAAGTCTCTGATGGCAGTAATTTGCAGGCTTCCTTTGCCGTTTACGCGAACATTTCTCGGGCTTTTGGTGTACGTCTGAGTCTCAGTAGTACCTCAAGCGGATGGGCCCCCAGGGTAGCTCGTGCCAGTGTCAATGATCCACTTTTCGGGATCGGGGAGGGCGTCGCGGCGACCTTCGGAATCATCGGCCCAAGTAAGTTCGAATCCGCTAACGTTGGGTACTTTTGCCTCAATCAAGGGAAAGAACAGAAGAAGGGATGCCGCGAGACCTGATATGCTCATGACTGACAGCATTGACAATGGTGGAGTTGGAAGAAGGGAAAGAACGTGGGCCTAAAAAGTTTCGAAAATACAAATGAATGTAGAGGGTTGGTAGTTCAAGTAAGAACAAAAAGAAAGGGTTTTTGCAAAGGGCGCACAGAGCAATGAAAACCTGGCCATCCAGGCCGCTTTAATATTCTTTTACATAGCGAGGCTCGCATGCCGTTTCTTACCGGTTCTTATCACTATCTATGGCTTACTGGCTTTGACTTTACGGAAATTGCGGTATTATGCGCGTTACACGAGACTTAGGGTTAGGGTTAGGGTTAGGGTTAGGGTTAGGGTTAGGGTTAGGGTTAGGGTTAGGGTTAGGGGTTAGGGT